GGGGGGGGGGGGGGGGGGGGGGGGGGGCGGCGAGGGTGGCGTGTTTCGACACGTGAGGAATTCTGACTACGCAATTCGCGGGTTGGTGCTCGCACGACAATTCAAACATCATGAGAAGTACGAGAGAAATTCGCAGATAACTCTTGTGAAACCAAGCATTGACACCTACTGGTACGTGAACCACTCGTAATCGTTGGTAGCTCTATATCACCACAGCCAATCACCACGGCAAAACTGACCTTCGCTCTGGGAGATTTTCGGATGTGCTCCATAACCATTTTCACCGTCGCGATCACTTTGCGTACAACGGGGCTCCTCGACTTGGCCGGATCCACGTGCGTACCGAACGCCTGTCATCCCAGACGTGAGCGAGCGGGATCAATCAATCTCAACAATATTATTTTTATTTGTCGCGCAAAGGACAGGGAACATCACGAACGATGTCTCGTCCTGCACCCCAACAAGCGTGTCTACGCATTCGTGCCTCTCGCTCGGTTCTTACGCTGTACTACATGCTACTGCTGCTACGTATCGTTTCAAAACTCAACTGAGGAAGCAGTCGTAGCTCACGGCGACCTATTTCAGCACACTTTTCGTCTTTCACCAAAAACGACGGCCGACAACGTGGGACTTGTGTAGAACGCATGCATCGCCAAAAATTGAGTACGGCGGAAAACCACCACCATCACAACCTCACCTCGACCAACGCGCATGTGGCACACACATCACTTCCACAGCCCCGGCAGCAGTACGTCGCACAGTCAATTCACGTCGCTGCCGGCGTCGCTCGTCGCAGAGAAGAGAAGTGACACGTCGAGGCCGTACTCCTCGAGCACGCTCTCGAGGTACTTCTGCAGAAGAGCCAAGAGGCGATTGTCCTCGAGCAGCTCCTTGGTGGGGTTGAACTGTCGAACTGCGATGAGGCGAGACCTCAGCACCCAGGTCCGGTCGATGTAGAACAACCGAATACCTGGAGAGAACAAGAACGAGCGCGAATCAACGAATAGAGGAAGCAAAATATGAAAATTAGTATCGGCGCGAATGGCACATGTCGATGTTCACAACCGTTGTAGAGCAGCGACCTCGCTTTTCGTCTTTTCGAAGCGACGAAACCAAAACAAGTGGCGTGCACGGAGAGATGATACCTCAGCTACAACCACAAGCGCCCAGCTGCTGGTCACGTGTTTTATCTTACCGATGCACTTCAAGCTCGAGAACTTGTCCACCCATAGGTCGCGGTTGAGGTGCAGAAGCCGCATGCCGCCGATCTGGGCAGCCATCTCCATCTTGTACTGGGAAGCGGTCGCGGCGTACATGTCGACGACCACCTGCTTGACGGCCTTGTTGTTGAGAGCAGTCAGCTTCAAGCTCGCTCGCACCCACTCCTTCCCGCCATGAGACAACGGGCAGAAACCCTCGATTATGTTGCACTTGACCCAGTTCATGACCAGAAACCGCGGATGGTCTTGGGTGTACATGGCAGACGACACGGCCTTGAACACCCGCAAGTCCAGTCGGTTTGTCTTCGCCTTCGCGGCTACAGTCTTCTTGGAACTCGCTGCGATGGTTCAACACAATATAAGATGTCGGGAGGTGTTTGTTTTGTGATTTTAATTTCTGTACTTGAGTCGTTTGCACAATACAACCGTAATGAAGAAAACAATGTGCGGTGGATTGCGGACGGCAGCAAATTCAAAAATTTTGAAATCGTGTGTAGAATGTGGAATGTACACATAATATAAAACTCCCAGCATATATATTTTTATATTTATACGGACAACAGGAGCGTACAGCAAAATAAAAGGAATAAAATCACGTTTCGACGGCAGTGTACACAAAACAATCGAAGTTCGTGTGTGGATTATGGACAACAGCAGCGTACACCGTACCCAAATGAAACGAAATAAACTAAGCACTTCTATTATCTTGTTCATATTGTGGACGTGGATAGCAAACCAAAACAGGTCAAATGAACAAAAGTTGCACGCGCGGACTCGCGAACGACAGCAGCGTACAACCAATGACAACAAAATCAAGACTGCTTGGGAGCATTACTCGCCTGCGTTGTGCTTAGCCTTGATGTGGTCGTTAGCATTTAATGCCGACTTCTCGCCGATGGCGATGAAGATGCCCTTGGCCACGTTCGCCCGGCAGGATGCATTCCCGAAACATGCGAAAAACCACTTGCCGGAGGTTTTGTGTTTCACCTTGCGCCGTACTTGTATATGTTCGGGCTCGATCGGTCAGACTTGGGCACGATCTCGTGACTGTCTGGAGGCAAGAAGTCCTCGATCGCAGTTGTGACCTGCTCACCTTCCTGTGTTAGTTCAGTACATCAAGAACGGGTGTTTGTAAGAAAAAGAAAATCACGAATGACCCGCGACGCTGCCGTGTGCTCGGCAAGACAGCGGCACGTCTGAGGTCAAATGCGCTGATCTACGTCGACCCTTGCACGCTATTTCTCTGTTCAAATGCATGTGTGTGGTGCTCACCTTTCACATGCCTCGCATCGATTCTAAGGCACGGGAGAGCGACAGTGGTCACGAAAGACAAGTGTGAACAGCAGGCATATACCAGTCAAATGCAGTGCGGTGTGTGCGTGGTTGTTGTGTTTCGCGTTTCACGTACCTCAACCGCAGCTCCGTCAACGTCCACAGTCACTGGCGCTGCTGCTGCCGACTGCCCAGCCCCTCCTCCGGCAGGGTTATCGGGTTGCGAACCAGCAGCATTTGCTAGTGCATTTGCTTGGGCATTTGTAGCTGACATGCTGACATTCAGCCCGTGTGTGTGGGTGTGTGTGGCCCGTGCCGTGGGCCCGTGGGCTGGATCTTGGAGGTAACTNATACCAGTCAAATGCAGTGCGGTGTGTGCGTGGTTGTTGTGTTTCGCGTTTCACGTACCTCAACCGCAGCTCCGTCAACGTCCACAGTCACTGGCGCTGCTGCTGCCGACTGCCCAGCCCCTCCTCCGGCAGGGTTATCGGGTTGCGAACCAGCAGCATTTGCTAGTGCATTTGCTTGGGCATTTGTAGCTGACATGCTGACATTCAGCCCGTGTGTGTGGGTGTGTGTGGCCCGTGCCGTGGGCCCGTGGGCTGGATCTTGGAGGTAACTGGATCAACTGACCAACTCTGACAACTGCTTGCTGTTCCAGGCTGAAGAGGTCAAATCCAACGGCACTCAAGTATCTCCGTTATCACAATTTATTTGGCCGCTAGCGACGGTTTGGTTCCCATCTACTGTTGTTTTGAAAAGAAGAGCAACTATTTGATAGCAATCAACTGCTTTCCATAAATGTTGAGCGAATATTTGATTGCAGTCAACTAATGTTTCGAACAGCTGAGCAATTTTTGTTATGCTCATGAATCTGGAATTATTATTATTTTGAAGTCATGGAACCCCACGACTTCATCACGCAACCCGGGTTTACCATACACCAAGTCTTCCCCGGGTTCCTCCTTCACATCCCACCCACAAACGTAGACCCAAGCAGGCTGTCACACCTCCACTTGCTATACCCCCACACCCACCCCCCAGCAACCCTGAATGTTCGTTCTTCGCGGAAAACCCGGGTGGGAGGGCGGGAGGGTTTCCCGCTCGGTCACCTAAAGCCTTGTGTCTAAAGTAGACCGCGGTAACCTCTACAGCAGCTCCCCGTTTCGTCTCACAGGAGCAGCTGCAGTGTGCCCTCTTCCTGTAGCTTGCTACTTCTGCGAACAAGTGTACTCCACCACGTCACCACATCTCTCTTCTGGTACCCTTTCCTCCTCAGAAACTTCCCCGCTAATTCTTGTTTACTTGCCACTGTACGATTCAGTCCCGCGCCACAAACCCCAGATTTCCTTCGTTCAATCTTACACATTTGATCGCAGTCAACTACTTTTCAGAAAAGCTGCGCAACTATTTGGTTCCTAGCAACTACCTCTAACAACATATTCGCAAGATTGAGAGCGAAGTATCTGATTGAGAGCGAGATCGTACGATACGATGCAGCTTGTCTACTGCTGAGAGGTAGAGCTTGCTGTGCGGCTTGAATTGAAGGGCTTGCCCAAAGCTACAAGCCGATACCCGGGTCATCCTGCGGGTGTCTCGCGTTGTGGAGCTACACCGCGGAGCAGAAGCTACGGGAGGGCCTACCGCGCCAGGCGACGGCGCCCTGAAACAGTTTCGGGCAGGAATAGCCAATCTGGGGAAATCTAGCAACGTGCGTAGCTCCTCGCTGCTGCAGCCGATCGCAGTGACACGCATATGCACGCGAAGCTGCTGAAGAGAGCTTCAATTTGCGCCGCTTTTTGGAAGAGCCCGTCCCCTGCTTCCCGAGAAATGACGGGAGGCGTCTGGACCCGAATTTCGAATTTTTTGGTTCTCGCTCTCAATCGGAAACTTCGCTCTCAATTGTGCGAAAACCCTGCTCTCGTGAAAACCCTGTGCAACTGTTTGTTTACAGGCAACCACCCGTAGTAGTTGTATTTAAATTCGATATTTGTACAGAGTGTGATATTTGACATTTTCTTTGATATATTTTGGTTTCCTGTTTCGGTTTGGAGTTTTATCCATGATGGAGTTAGAATGCAGAATTGGCATACTGGATTTCACGGAATCCACCTGGTTGTTGCACTGCTGTCGGAAATCATGGAGGGGGATGTGATGCCATGCTGTCCGCGTCAGCACAACAATCACTAATTCTGACTTTGGGTTTGGCATTTCAAGTTAGTTTTCCGCGTTTCCCCTGCGGATATTATATGGGATTGATCATATTCACAATGGGATTTGGGTAGTTCATGTATGGATCGATCTTTTCCCTCGTATTTTCTGCGAAGTTTCACAAAGTGTGGCGTTCTGCAGCAGCGGAGGCGGCGGTACTGCTGTAGCTCGTGGGCTTTGTAGTCTACCACAGTCCCTCGTATTTTCTGCGAAGTTTCACAAAGTGTGGCGTTCTGCAGCAGCGGAGGTGTCGGTACTGCTGTAGCTCGTAGGCTTTGTAGTCTACCACAGAGGTTACACTGCTGTCACCGCGGTGCTGCTGTAGCTCGTAGACTTTTGTAGTCTATCACAGAGGTTACACTGCTGTGAGATCGGTAGGCCCGAGCGAGCTTCGGAAAGAGAAATGTAGATAGATGTTCTTATCAACTGACTCCCCGGTCAGGCTATGATGAGTGCTAGATGAGAGTGAGCACAAGGGGCGAAGGCGCGCTCGTGTCTCAGCTCAACAACAAAACAAAAACAAGAAACAAGCAGCAAAAACACAGCAGGTTCCGAGGGTCTCCGGAGTAATGACCCGAGTATCGGGATTTCGGGGTTCGGAACGATAAAACAACTACAGTCTCGCCTGCCAAATTATCTCTGCTACAACTCTGTGCTCATGTTCTCTGCTAAGTACCATCTCTTCTTTCTTGATTATGTCCACGGAAGGCTAGTTGCCGCAGTGGCACCTATAATAAACTGTGTCTGACTACGTTGTAACAGTTTTCCTCGACACGACCCCTCGNTCGGGATTTCGGGGTTCGGAACGATAAAACAACTACAGTCTCGCCTGCCAAATTATCTCTGCTACAACTCTGTGCTCATGTTCTCTGCTAAGTACCATCTCTTC